TCCAAATATGTAAAAAAAATTATATGTTTATTCAGAGAAAGTACGTTTTTGTGTCTGATTTCGTAACTTAATTAATAGTTAGCACTAATTAATTAACATATTTGAGGTCACCCCCAGGAACCATTAAGATTGACTCTTAGTTCGTGAAAATCCGATCATTAGAACGAAAGTTATTCAGGGTGATTCGTTTTTTTTTTTGCGGAAAGTACCTCGTACATCGCAATCTTTTTTAAAATAATACTTTCGATTTTTCAAAATTTTGATTATAAATACGGCATAGAACAAATGTTTTAAAAAGTATACAGAGGAGAAAAAAAAATCTTTAAAATGTCAATACAAATATAAGTTTAACTATTTCCCTTTCTGTAACAGTATATTTACATTTATGAGTGTGTAAATCTGCTATATTCAACCGTTTCAACGGGTTATATAGGAAACTTTTAAGATATAAACTTTAAATACTTAAGTGCATCGTTTGTAATTAACAAAAATATATGTTAGAATATTAAAAAAAAATTATTAAATGCCTAACAATGCTCTGTGAAAGTTCATTTCAATCATATTTGCCCAACAATAAGATACAATTTTTTTCATAGATGTTAAGTTGCATTGTTGACCAACAATGGGATTCCATAAATTTTAAATCGTGTTCCATTTTATTCATTTGAGTTTCTTGCTTGAAGCTGATTGTGGTGATTTCTGAGAGATTTGAAAAAAGCGAATTTGGATTTACTTCTTGTAAGATTTAAAATGTCTGCTGATCAGAAAAGAGCTAATGGACACGCCCAACGTGTTGCCCGTATTAGCAAAGCAGCTGATATATTGAAAAATGATGGAGAATATGCGAACTTAGATCCCATTGGATCTGGCACTTATGGCCGAGTGTATAAAATTGCTTCTTCATTTACTAAATTGGAATGGGCCGCAAAGTTTGTGCCTTTTGAGATCGCATCAAGGAATGAAGTTGAATTGTGGCCAAAACTTAACCATCCTAACTTAGTTTCTCTCAAGAGCATACTGAAGTTGCCAAATCCGAAAGTCTTTATTTTCATCATGCCGCTTTATCGGATGACATTGCACTTGGCAATTCAGGATGCAGAATTCCGTTGTAAAAGCGGAGCACTTAAAAGTGTCAAATCTTGGATGAAAGATATGCTTCGTGGCCTAGAATACCTTCACCTAAATGATATGTGCCACTTGGACCTGAAGCTTGATAATATACTGATTTCGGAGAGCAATACTGCCCTATTGGCTGACTTTACCTTTTTATGGGATGCTAAAAAGGCTCTTAAGAAGTACATATTAAGTTTTTTATTCATAACTACTTATATTTTTATTATTTTGCTTTATGTCTATATGGTAATTCTCAGTAACATAATCATTTGGTACAATTATGATGCAAAATATTGTAACATTTTCGATGTCTTTAAACTACAATAAAATATAATTCACTTTAAAATAAACTTTATTGATCACTTACTTCAACGAACATAATCTCATGGTAATAAAAACAAACTTCTTTACAAAATAAATTCAAAACTCATCTCGCTTATTCAATTAGTAAACTGTCTTGTACCACGCGAGATTCATTTTTATTTCATTTCATAAATTTATCAACCCAAGTTTTTCAGTTAGGTTTTTTCAAATTCAAATTCCTTTTGGTTACTCTGAGTATTATTTCTAATATTAGTTTTTCTACCTTTATCCTTCTCGTTTCTTCAGGTACCTTTACAGAAGAAAAATTTTGGATTCTTACTATTTTTTTTCGTGATACTTTATGTATGATAAGAAAATGGTATTGTTTGTTTGTTCTAAATTAAAGAATTTTTAGATTGAAATTTGTTGTCTAATGCTTAAATTATTTCTAAAATTTGAGCAATATGATCGATTTTCCCCATTAATTTATCCAAACAATTATTTAGTATCCTGTGTTAGCAGTTTTCTGGCTTCTTCAATGCATTTCAAGGGACTGATACTTTTAGTACCAGTGTCTTCTGACATTTTGATTGGCAACTCTAATTTGTCATAAGCCATTTTACTAATAGTCACTTTATCAAATCAATTATTGAGCATTACGTCTTGCGTTTACAGTTTCTAAACTCATTAATTTTGACTTTCAAAAGGGCTGATTTTTTCAGTACCAGTAACTTCTGATTTTATGGTCGCCATGACTTTAAGAACTTATTTTACTAATCTCTAACTTACTTTGAACATCTTTCAGTTTTAAAAAGTCAAAATCTTCTCAATTTGATCAAATTTTGCAATTAATGTATTCAATAAATTATTCAACAAAGCATCCTGGGTTTGCAAGTTCTGGATTTTACTAATTTTGACTCTATTAATGCTTTTTAAAGGTATTATTTCTTTAATACAAGTACCTTCTGGCTTCCAAGTCGTCTACTCTTTGTCTCAAGAGTCATTTTATTGATCTCTAACCAACTTTAAGCATCTTATAGAATTTTTTCCAATTGTTTTTTAACTTATATTTCAACGTTCTGTTTTCCAAGCTGATGAAATCTTTTAAAGATTTGAAATCTTCTGCATTTGTCCAACTTTCTCAATTTATGTATTCAATAAGTTATGCAGCATTTTATCTTATATTTGCAGTTTCTGGGCTTCACAAGTTTTCTCTCCATTATTGTTTTTCAAACAATTGATGTTCTTAGTGCCAGTACATTCTAACTTCAAAATCGCCAACTCTTCTTTGTCAAGAACTATTTTATTAATCACTAACCTATACTCAAAGCACCGTTTAGATTTTTTCCCAACTTTTTAATGTCTTGTTTTAATGTATTTAGTGTGTACTGATTTATTGTTCCATTATTGTTTTTCAAACAACTGATGTCCTTAGTGCCAGTACATTCTGACTTCAAAATCGCCAACTCTTCTTTGTCAAGAGCTATTTTATTAATCTCTAACCTATACTCAAAGCACCGTTTAGATTTTTTCCCAACTTTTTAATATCTTGTTTTAATGTATTTAGTGTGTACTGATTTATTGTTCCATTATTGTTTTTCAAAGAACTGATGTCCTTAGTGCCAGTACATTCTGACTTCAAAATCGCCAACTCTTCTTTGTCAAGAACTATTTTATTAATCTCTAACCTATACTCAAAGCACCGTTTAGATTTTTTCCCAACTTTTTAATATCTTGTTTTAATGTATTTAGTGTGTACTGATTTATTGTTCCATTATTGTGTTTCAAACAACTGATGTCTTTAGTGCCAGTACATTCTGACTTCAAAATCGCCAACTCTTCTTTGTCAAGAACTATTTAATTAATCTCTAGCCTACTTAAAGCACAGTTTAGATTTTTTTTCAATCTGTTTAATATCTTGTTTTAATGTACTATTTTCCAAGATTAATAATTATTTTACCTTCTTGAAGGTAACCACGCATTTTCTCATGTCTAATTTAGTTTGCATGGAGAAAATGATGCTTTTTTTTGCGATCGACTTTGTAATTCACACATNTTATTGTTCCATTATTGTTTTTCAAACAACTGATGTCCTTAGTGCCAGTACATTCTGACTTCAAAATCGCCAACTCTTCTTTGTCAAGAACTATTTTATTAATCTCTAACCTATTTTAAGCATCGTTTAGATTTTTTTCCAACTTTTTAATATCTTACTTTTATGTATTTAGTGTTTACTGATTTATTGTTCCATTATTGTTTTTCAAACAACTGATGTCCTTAGTGCCAGTACATTCTGACTTCAAAATCGCCAACTCTTCTTTGTCAAGAACTATTTTATTAATCTCTAACCTATTTTAAGCATCGTTTAGATTTTTTTCCAACTTTTTAATATCTTACTTTTATGTATTTAGTGTTTACTGATTTATTGTTCCATTATTGTTTTTCAAACAACTGATGTCCTTAGTGCCAGTACATTCTGACTTCAAAATCGCCAACTCTTCTTTGTCAAGAACTATTTTATTAATCTCTAACCTATTTTAAGCATCGTTTAGATTTTTTTCCAACTTTTTAATATCTTACTTTTATGTATTTAGTGTTTACTGATTTATTGTTCCATTATTGTTTTTCAAACAACTGATGTCCTTAGTGCCAGTACATTCTGACTTCAAAATCGCCAACTCTTCTTTGTCAAGAACTATTTTATTAATCTCTAGCCTACTTAAAGCACAGTTTAGATTTTTTTGAATCTGTTTAATATCTTGTTTTAATGTACTATTTTCCAAGATTAATAATTATTTTCCCTTCTTGAAGGTAACCACATATTTTCTCATGTCTAATTTAGTTTGCATGGAGAAAATGATGCTTTTTTTTTGCGATCGACTTTGTAATTCACACATTTTTCACACAATTATTCACACTTTGTAATTCACACATTTTTCATACAATTATTCACACTTTGGAATTCACACAATTTTCTTACTACCTTATTTACATATGTAACTTTGCTTTAAAGTTACAGTTTGGCTTCTCAAAAAATATTTGTCTTTATTTACATTAATTGGAGCCACTTTAGTTAAAATGTCCAAACTTACATTCGGCGTTGAGTTTCTTCGAATGACGATTTCAAACAACAAATTTGGCTTTATGTTACAAGTTTGTTATGCTCACAAGTTTGGCTTTATATTATTCTGACAAATTAAATCAATGCTAGCTCAGCATATCTTAAAATTTTCTTTACAATTATAATTATCAATAAAGTTACCAATTAATAAATACATGGATTGGAATGTAAAAATAATATAAATTAGATGAAAAAAACTTATGATAACGTCTAAATTTGCTTCACTCTATGACAGGGTGTTATGTATTGAACCGTAGTATATTTCTCAAATTGAAACATCACTGAGTTTTTTTAACGAATTTTACTGCTTATCGTGTCGTAAATAAATTGGTATACAACGACAGAAATAATTAAAGTTCAGGGTTTATTGCAGACTTTTCGTGAAAGTGTCTAAAATTTACTCATAATTTTGTGAAAATATGGCTTATTCATGATGTTATTTCATGAAAAATCACGAAAACCAGTCACCTTTGCAGACTTTGTGTGAAGGGTTGGTGAAAATTTACAAGTGACTGCAAGTTTTAATTTTGACAATTTGTTTTAATGCCATAATCGGCATAACAAAATGCTTTTTTTTCATACATTTTTTTAAGGTACCTAAAGCACGTTAAGACATTTAATATCGATGTTGCCTTAGTAAGGAAACCGATTTTGTTTTACAATATCATAAACGCAACACAGTTTTCAGCAAAATTGAACGAAATTTGTCACTAATCCAAAAGGCACCGAATTTTGTACTCTAACTGAAAGGTCCTCTTTTTGTGAATTATAGAAAAATCCAGACGCAATTTTCCCAAATTTAAAATTACCGTAAAACTGGTTTTTTGTGAAAAAAAATACATAAAAGCCATCAATTTCAAGGAGTTTTAGTTTTAAAATAATGCACTGAAGGCTTTATAGATTCAGTTTTCCAGAAATATAATCTTGTAAAGGGTCCATTTTCAGGATCGTTTTGTTTTGTGACTGTCTATCTTTAAGATAAAATAGTTTGTCAAGGTAAACTATTTTCAAAAGGGTCCGTTCTAACGTTAAAAAATTTTGGGTAGTGTGCGTTGACAAATCCTAATTCCTCCTAAAATGATCTCTGATAATGATACGAGAAAGAAAACATAAATTGCAGTGCCACTAAATAGTAACCTCATTTGTAGTATTTTATTTTATTTCCAATACCCATCTCTGTTAACATCGTCAATTTAGACATTTTACAAGGCAGATTTGTTGACAACTCTTTCAGGAGCACCAAATTGTGCATAATCTGGGTGGTCACCAAAAAATAACAATAATATTTTTTTTCTGTGACTTTGCCAGACTTATTGTATTGGAAATTTTTACATTTTTGTAGCCGTTGGCTCAAATTTTTTATATTATTGTTTTAGTTATGCCTTGTTTTTATGCGTAAAACAAATTACTAAGCAGGAGTGAAAATCTAAAAATTTTTAAAAAAAGTATTTTAAGAAAATTTTTTTTGGAAAAATATTGAACCTTAAGGTATTTCCAACTAATTCATTTTCCCCTTCATTTTGGGTATTTTAATGTAATTCCCTTACATTTTCCCGATTTTTCGAAATTGATGAAATTCTCTGAACTTTTCCTGTTTATCGCAGAAGTCAAAATCTGAATTTTAAATCTTACAGACATTTTTTTTATTCTTTCCAAGTCCCTAGCAACAGTTTTACATTGGTCCCAGTTGGATACAAAATTGGCTCAATATGGATCCTGTAAGAATATCCACTGATAGACCAATATTGGGAAGTTTAGATTTTTTAATATTTGTCCTAGAATGGCCTATATAGGGCCTACATTGGCCAATATGGAATTTACATTGTCTAAATAATGAATATTAAATATCGGGTGAATCTGACAATTTTATATAGAACCGATATTGGTTGTAAAGTGGCTGTGAATTATTGGATGAATCGGAAAATTCTATATAGGACCAATATCGGAAAAATAACCGTCTTTGAACCTTTATTGAGACAAGATTCATGAATATTGGTCTAATGAGGGCCCAATTTATTTTACTGCTAGGGGTTTTAAGAAATTTAAGTATAAAAATAATTGGACTGTCATGGTTTATTATATTTAACTTTCACTTCAACTATAGGATATATCTTAGTATTACAATTCTTTTATAATTATTATAACTCATTGCAGCTTAAAAAAACACAGTTTAACCTAATATTATTTATTTTCGCTATTGCAGGAGCAATATTGGATTGCCACGTGTGTACAAACCCCCTGAAGTTTTCATAGAGGGTCATGAACTTGACGGATTTAGTGTAGACATGTGGGGGTTTGGTTGCATGGTGGTGGAACTATGTACCTACTTTGGAATCTCGAGAGCGACTGCCAATATTCAAGAAAACACGGAAAGTACAGAAATTCACGCTGCTGTGCTTAACGTGCTGAAGGTAAAATTTTATTTTACAGTATACTCTCAATATCTCTAAAACCTTGTTATGCCAAAAAAAAAAATTATCGCAAATATTAAAAAATGTCAGAGTTTCTTCTCAAAACCTTGTAATGCTGAATTTTTTTCGAAATAAAAAAAATTTTTTTTTGGAAAAATTACAATGTAAGTATATTGTAAACCAATTCCTTCCTATTTAATGCATAATTATTTTTGTTTTACTTTTATAAATAAAATTATAATTGTTTTCCTTATACTTATAGTCAACTATCTTTACATACATGTATTTATTAGTCGTTATTCTTATGTTTCATGACTCTACTTTTTAGAGTGATATTTTAGAATATATTTTTCTACATTTCAGAACACATTTAGTTCTGAATTTGCTATATCAAAAACTCGCTATCTCAAAATTTGTTTTAGCTTCCCTTCAGTTTTGAGATATCTAGAGTATATATTGTTCTGACTTTCTATTTTTAAGGGTGTCTATCGTTGACGAGAATCTCAAACAAAAATTTCTCACAGTGATTTTGTTAATCACTTCTTTTAAAAAAAACTAATTCCTAATCAACAATTTGGGATTACTAAGAGAAATTACATCTTAACCAATTATATTTATTTATTCAAAAAAAGTCTACTCTTATTATTATTCATAATAGTTTATTAATTTATGTTTCTAATTAAGTTATATTGATCAGCAGTGGTTCATGGGATAGGGAGTTCGTCACCCAATGAGGTGACCCAGATTCGAATCCCAGCTACGGCTGCTTGATACGAAGACTGCTCCCGACTCGCACTGACCACAGAGCTGACGCAATATATCTTCAGTTGTAGTCCGATCATGGGCTTGAATCACTGTGCCGTCGGACTAACCGTAGGAAGTTTTCGCAGTTTTCTTCTCTATGTAGACTCAAATGCNAACTTCGAACACTTACTTTGGCCCATGTACCATATAATTTTTTCAATGTATTATTATAGCGATTTTTCACTTACGGTCTCTTTTTCTTTATGGTGCTTCTGTGTACGTCACCGCTTCAGGAAAGCATTTCCGACCCCACATTGCTTTATGATTTCGAGTCGTCAGGATGCCCCCTACCCCTCTTAGAAGTTCTGAAACGCTTAGCTGAGACACCCTGTATTTTTCTTCCTTTTAGAGCATATTTAGTTCTGAATTTGTTAAATCAAAAACTCGTTATCTCAAATTTTTTTTTAGCTTTCCATCAATTCTGAGATATCTAGAGTATATGTATTGTTCTGACTTTCTATTTTTAAGGGTGTCTATCGTTGACGAGAATCTCAAACAAATAGTGATTTTGTTAACCACTTCTTTCAAAAAAAACTAATTCGTAATCTACAATTTGGTATTGTTAAGAGAAATTATATCTTAAAAATTAGTTGGGTCAAAAGTCGTTAAATTTGGAAGAAAAGTCACGAGAGTTTTAATGACCAGAAGTCACCCAGTTTTTAATTTTATACTATAATTCAATAAACGTTTGTGCCACTGCATCTCTGCAGAAGGTGGCCACTTTAAAACCACTTACATTTATTTATTCTACTCTTATTATTATTTATAATAGTTTATTAATTTATTTTTCGAATTAAGTTATATTGAGCAGCAGTGTTTCATGGGATAGGTGACCCAGATTCGAATCCCAGTGATGGCTGCTTGATACGAAGATTGCTCCCGACTCGCACAGACCACAGTGCTGACGTAATATATCTTCAGTTGCAGTCGGATCATGGGTTTAAATCACAGTGCCGTTGTACTAACCGTAGGAAGTTTTCGCAGTTTTCTTCTCCATGTAGACGCAAATGCGGATTTGTTCCATCAAAACGGCCTCGAAGGTCGATTTATCCTAATGATTTATCCTTGGTCGATTTATCCTTGATCCATTGTCTTCTAGTTTGGGTAAAGCTACAAGGCTGCATAGTTGAGCATTAGTAGTCGTAAACTAAAAATTGAATCGGCCGTTCAAATTATAACTTTTTATTACATATATATATATAAATTTTTCTTTTTTTAATTTTTTTTTGTCTTTGCAGGAACAAAATTTCAAGCTTTTGTTGACGAGTGCGTATGACGCTGATATTATAACTGAAGCTCAGTTAAAAGTGGCTCGTACCTTCATTCAGGAAATATTGAAATCTGAAGCATCTGAAAGGCTTCAAGCTGGAATGGCCATATCGCACGAATTCTTTAACGAACAACATGATAGTAGTCCACAGGACAGAGTCGTGCAAAGTTCAGCAGTGACTGAATTAACTGATCAGTGTAATATTGAAGACCACACTCGAAATCTTATGCCAGAGACTGGAGATGATAAAAATATGACAATGGAGGAAAAACTAGATCTCATCCTCTTAAGACTCACCGAGTTGACGAATGAAGTTAAGCATCTCCATATAAGAGTGGATGGTATGGCGCCAAAAATGGAAGTGTTCGAAAAACTGGTGAAGCAAAATCCAGTCGTTGATAAGAGTTGTGAGAAGGAAACAGTCCGGATTGAGAATAATGAAATTGGCGACTGCACTTTTATTGCGGTGCAAGATTCGTGTGGTTACAAAACTGGAGACAAACCAGAACACTTGTCCATGGCTCACGGCGATGAAGCAGAGGCTGTTTCTGAAGGTGAGAATTTTTAACAAAAGAGGTGCTTTTTCATTTTTGGGTTTTATCTATAGAATTTTTTTTTCTTTAACGAGGACTTTTAGTCACGTTTTAGATTTTTTTCCTTTTTTTACACCATTTTTAATGAATTTTAAATAATATGTTGCCTTTTAAGTGCACATTCCTTTTTTTCATTTTAAATTAATTCAAAAAGAATCTTGTTATTTTAAATATCCTCCAATAACAGGCGTTGATGTGGAACACAGTTTCAAAATATAACGAATTAGTTTTTGTACAATATGCAATCTTTTAGTTTCGAGAGTGTTGAAACACATTTGATAATGCAATACGATTCCTGAAGATTTTAACTGAAAACTAGAGAATTCTTGAGGATTTTAATTAAATTTCTAATTATCTTTATCAGGTATTTAGCTATATTTTTTTCATGAATTGCATATTTATTTTTATCATTATTATATGTTTTACTAAATTTAAAAATACTGTAATTTCTTAGGAATAAAAGCTAAAATTAAGCATGACTTCAAAAAATTTATGACTTTATTTTTCGTTTTAAGGTTTACTTTTAATAATTTCGGAAAGTTTAAATTTTTAAGGCCATTTTTTAAGAATTTTTATGAAGTCAAAATCCTAGGCCTGTCATTATTATTATTATTTGTATTACCTACTAAGCAAGACCCTGTTCGATTAATTAGTAGAGAAAATCTTTCGAAACAAAATATTACACCATTTATGCAGCGTCTTATATTTATATATTTTTTTGTCATTTCCAACGATACGTGGCAGGGAAAATTTGAGATTTGAAAGTTTAACTTTGAATAATAGTATGAGTCATATAGCGCTGATAAATTCAAAATAATAAATGTGAAACTACGAGGAGTAGTGACTAGAATTTCTAGAGAATTATTTTGGTTTTCTTATACCTTGGTTCTTGGAGCTACGCATTACATCGATGCTTCAGAGAAAAGCTCTTAAAGTTACGTATTATACCGACGCATCATAGAAAAGCTGTAAAAGCTACATGTTATATTGATGCATCATTGAAAAGCTCTTAAAGCTACATATTATATTGATGCATCATAGAAAAGCTCTTAAAGCTACGTATTATATTGATGCATCATAGAAAAGCTCTTAAAGCTACATATTATATTGATGCATCATAGAAAAGCTCTTAAAGCTACCTATTATATTGATGCATCATATAAAAGCTCTTAAAGCTACATATTATATTGATGCATCATAGAAAATCTCTTAAAGCTACATGTTATATCGATGCATCATAGAAAAGCTCTAAAAGCTACATATTATATCGATGCATCATAGAAAAGCTCTAAAAGCTACATGTTATATCGATGCATCGTAGAAAAGCTCTAAAAGCTACATATTATATCGATGCATCGTGGAAAAGCTCCTGAAGCAACGCAATCCACAGAGGTTGCATCGAAAGTCTCCTGAAGTCACACATTGCATCTACGCTGAATAAAAAAACTCTTAAAGCTACGTATTACATCATACAGCATAAAAAAGCTACTGAAGCTTCGCAATACGTAGACTCTGCATAGAAAAGCTTCTGAAACAACGCATAAACGCCATAAAATGACGCACTACGTCAAACATATCACATGACTCAAAGAGGTATACTAAGGCAGCAATAGTAGTAAATGACATAGTTTATAAATGGCTTAACTTGTCGAATTTAGCAAAAAATAAAATGAAATGAATATTTTAATTCCCTAAAATAGATAGTTGGAAAAAGCTTGTTTGCTAATAGATTACTAGATTGAGGTCTTTCGCCAAATATTTTCCATTGAATGATTATATATGTTGTATTATATGGCATTCATTAAATAGAAGTTTTAGAAATTTAGTTACACCTGTAGTTAAATTATGATTTAAATGAATTGCAGCATGCAGTAATAAATTAAACTATTGTCAAATTAGTTGAATTTATATAGCAAATAGGGAAAATTTCATATAGAAATTGCTTTTGTATTTCACTCTTTGCATGATAAAATGAACATTACCGATATACACAAATTATTATAAGCATTTTTACAGAAGGTCAACTAATCAGTTATAAATATGTGTTCGAATGATGAAAAATCTAAGAAATTTTCCTTAAGAAGTTTTTCTTTAGTTTATTAGGCATAAAAATATTGGGTAATTAATCGGTAATGATAAAGAGCTCTTTTTATTTCTTAATTAATATTTGTTTTGAAAAAGCGAATTCTAAGCTCTTAAATAATTATTTTGAAAAATAATTCTGATATCTAAGTTTAAGTATATTTCTTTCATAGGAAGTACTAAAGCTAAGAGTGGAAGTAATAAGAAACGTGGTCCTTTGAATTGGATGCGAAAAAGGTTTTGTTCTTTTAAAAGACTGTTTCGGCCATTCAAGAAGGACGGGTCGAAATAAGGACATGTAAGTACTCGTTTGTTATTATAAAAATCTTTATTAGTTTATCTAACGCGTAATGAAAAATAAAGATAAATTTTATTCAGAAAATTTTAATTTAAAAAAAAATTAAATGAACAAACCTTTTAAAAATAAACGTCGGTTGTAAAAATTTTAAAACATCTTCCTAACTGTTACAGACATAGATATTTAACCCTTGGAATAGTATATCAAGAACGCAATTTTATTCCAAACCTCTATTTTTTTAAAAAAAAAAAATATTAAAATCCTGTTTTAGGGAAAATGCGACAATATTTTTTTTGTTACTTTGTAAATATTTCATTACTTATTTTATAACACTAGTAAATTATTTTACTATACTTAAAAATATTTTATTACTTTAAGTTTCAGGTATGGAAATTTAATTTTGTTTTTATTTCCTTAGGTGAAGACAATACAGACATAAAAATGACAACAAATAATATAATGACTTATAATATACTTTCATGGGAGACGACATTCCAAAAGGAATTAAAATTTTCACTGGTGACGATAAAATCTAATGATGACTACAAATGCTGAAGAGTGACGACACAGCCTGAAATGACTAGAAGTGCTCACGGGTGGAAGGAGGGGAGGAAAAATTTAAAATCAATTTATTTACCGAAAGAAGACAACAAATAATATAATGATTGATATACTTTCATGGGAGACGACAATCTAAAGTGACTTAAAATTCTGACTCTGGACGACAAAATCTGAAATGACAACAAACGCTATCGGGTGACCGCACCGTCTTATTCGACTTGAAGTGCTCACGGGTGGAAGGAGGGAATGTGAAATTTTAAGTCAATTTAATTACCGAAATTTGACAGACACTTGAATGTGTTAAAATTTGCACTGTAACGATACGATAAATTATCAATCATGACATGTGAAGACAGAGACTTCAACGTGCTAAAAAAGGCACTATAATGTTATGAAAGACAAATTAATCATTATATGTGCTATAATGACATGTGACATACCTTCAATGGAGACGACATTCTAAAAAGAATCAAAATTTTCACTGGTGACGACAAAATCTGAAATGACAACAAACGCTGTCGGGTGACCGCACCGTCCTATTCGACTTGAAGTGCTCACGGGTGGAAGGAGGGAATGTGAAATTTTAAGTCAATTTAATTACCGAAATTTGACAGACACTTAAATGTGTTAAAATTTGCACTGTAACGATACGATAAATTAATCAATCATGACATGTGAAGACAGAGACTTCAGTGTGCTAAAAGAGGCACTATAATGTTATGAAAGATAAATTAATCATTACATATGCTATAATGACATGTGACATACCTTCAATGGAGACGACATTCTAAAAAGAGCCAAAATTTTCACTGGTGACGACAAAATCTGAAATGACAACAAACGCTGTCGGGTGACCGCACCGTCTTATTTGACTTGAAGTGCTCACGGGTGGAAGGAGGGAATGTGAAATTTTAAGTCAATTTTAGATACCGAAATTTGACAGACACTTGAATGTGTTAAAATTTGCACTGTGACGATACGATAAATTAATCAATCATGACATGTGAAGACAGAGACTTCAATGTGCTAAAAGAGGCACTATAATGTTATGAAAGATAAATTAATCATTACATATGTTATAATGACATGTGACATACCTTCAATGGAGACGACAACCTAAAGTGACTTAAAATTTTCACTGGTAGCGATAAAATCTGAAATGACAATGTTGTCGGTTGACGACGCCGTCTGATATGACTTGAATTGATCATTAAGGAAAGCTGGGATAAGAAGACTTAAATTCCGTTAAATTATTCAAGGACTACAGATTTGAGGTTATAGAAATATTGACTAGATGACTCGAAAGTTTTATGGATCATGACATATTTTATAACTACTGAAAAGATACTTTTATGGTTGACGTTATTCCGAAATGTTTTAAAGCTTTCATTGGTGACAGCTTAATCAGAAACTACTTCAAATGCTGAACTTTTCACAATAGCATAGTTTCTATCGTTGTTATCCCTTTGATGCTAAATTCTTAATAAACATATTTTTTCTACTTTTTTAATTGTTTTTGTATTAATTTAGGTCAAAATAAGTGAAAAATATTATAATAATAAATGGTTACGGAATACAGTATGAAACACCGGTGACTTTTTCTGCGTTAAAGATAAAGTCTTCCAAACACGGCTCGCTTCCAAACAATAATTTTTCAAATTTGCACTTATTTGCAATTATTTATATCTAATAAAAATAGTATTCCGCATTGAAATTTCTTTAATCTGAAAAAAATCAGTTGTTAATAAATGTTCAAATATGAATTTAAAAAAAAAAAGTTTCGATCTACTTTTTCTCTTTTTATTATTACTATTTCAGATTTTGGTAAAAATATTATTCCTATAAGCCAACAGGTTCTTTTTAGTAACTGTTAGGCTGCTTCTTTTAAAATTAAAAAATACCAAAATATATTTTTGCTTGCAATTAGTGCGTCAGAAAAAAAATATATATATATAAAGGAGACCTGTGTCAAATCTGTGCCATAGGGTTAAGGGTTACTAAAAGTTAACCTCTATAAAGTGCAAACGTTACCTT